AAAACTGATCCTAATATTGACGGGGCAGGTTAGACATAACATTTAGTAAAGATTAATTAGAATATTGAGTAAGGTGGGACTGAGAACACCTCCCTATGGGATTCTAAGTCGAAGTCTTTAGTTACACTTCTTTACCTGCAACAACACTTTCTGATGGACAGACAGGCTTTGATACAGTGGAGAAGCCATCCTACTACATCCATTCTGGCAAGTTCTCTAAAGATTACTTGACTGGTAGCCATATCAAAGGCAGATTTATAGTCAAGGAAAGAAGTATAGAAGCTGTTAGTATGGAGAATGAGAAAAGTGGTTATGCAATAGTGCACACTCCTTCCATGCATAACACATGCAACGAGGAAGCCAGATACTGTTGCATTGTCTATCCTATCTTAGTCGTAATCACCGAGTTATTTGTGGGAATCGTGTCATGGGCTCCTGGCCCTGCCTCCTAGACTACACTGATCGACATCACTGATTTTTTTGGCTTCTTGGGCCATATCATACCTACTCTTAAAGCTGTGTAGGGACTTTGCCTCATCCAAGACTAAAGAAAGAGTTCCTTACATCCCTATGGCTCAATTGTTTTATTTATTTATTTATTTAGTAATTTAAGCATACAGAGGTACAAATAATACAGGTAAGAGCAGCATGCCAAAGCCACTTATATGCATAGCATTACGGGCTGGCTTAAAATTAACTTAAGATTAACTAAGCAATGATGAAATCAGTGATAAAACATTATTGTAAACAGATAACTATAAAGCACAAATGAGTATTACAAAGACAGGTCATATGGTTGCTTGCATTGCTGTACATTCAGTCGAATGGAGTATTCTGTAAGGTAGTGTATTTAAAAAAATAATAAAGTTAGATTGGGTCCTAGGTTTAACATTTGTGTGATATAATTGTGAGTAACATATAGGATATACAATTTATAAGGTTCAGTTATTCAGTATTTATTTGGTTTTGAGTGAGTAAGTGATCTTTGAGAAGAGACTTGAATTTATAAACAGGCAGTGTTTCTTTTATATTTACAGGTAATGAATTCCAGATTTTAGGGCCTTTTATGTGCATTGAGTTTTTGCATAGCGTGAGATGGACACGAGGAACATCATTGTGTCTTCAACTTCCACCTGTGTCCCTTGATCATGTCCTCTTAATTCAAACAGTCTGTCCCGATCTATCCTATCAATTCCTCTTAAGATTTCATATGTCATAATCATGTCTCCCTTTGTCCTTCTCTCCTCCATGATCACAATGTTCAGTTCCTCCAGCTTCTCATAGTGAATTCTTCTCTTCTAGTACTATTATAGTTGCAAATACAGTTGCATAGATTATCATACATAGCAGCAACCCATAGCAGATAACCCAAAAAAGTCAGAGTGACTTATTTCCACTGGGGTCCTTTTGTTACCTTATCAATAATATTACATTAATATAAAAATCAAATGTGCCAGATAAAAAATTATATAAAAATTACACAAAACAAATTACATAAAATATTGAGTAATGGATGACAAAGATAAAATAAGCAGAATACAAGAATTATGACAATATAAACAAATATGAAAATCAATGATCAATGTTGGAATTGTAGGAATATACAAAAGGAATAAATTATACAGTGACTAGTATAATTATGAATAATCACTGAGAAACAATGAAAAAATAGAAGACAATGAATATATATATATATATATATATATATATATATATATATATATATATATATATATATATATATATATATATATATATATATATATATATGCAAAACAACCACTCTGAAAAAATAGAGAAATTCCAAGCGCTTTCGTGACTACTCACATTATCAAGGAACTTGATAATGTGAGTAGTCACGAAAGCGCTTGGAATTTCTCTATTTTTTCAGAGTGGTTGTTTTGCATATTCTGAAATCACCTGTTTACTGTGATCTTATTGCATATATATATACATATATATATATATATATATATATATATATATATATATATATATATATATATATATATATATATATATATATATATATTATATATATATATATATATATTATATATATACAGTATATATATATATATATATATATATATATATATATATTTTATATATATATATATATAATATATATATATATATATATATATATCATAAATTAATAATCATCTCTAAGGAATGCATTTATTACCCTAATAACATATGTTGTTAGGGACTCGTCCCTCATTGGTGGGACACCCAGACAGCCATTGCCAAATAGCAGTATATAAAGTATATAAAGTTCTGAAGGATTCTTTCTTCAGGTTCCAAATTACTGTTCTGAAGCTTGATAATTCTGCAGATACCGCTGACAGTACAAAATATGCAATTCTAGCGATATTTTTTTTGTAATATTTACCCTTAGGTCCATTTTCACTCTCAGATATTTGCAGCTTCTCTCAGTCTATGCTGTACTTTGTGTCCGGTCTGACCTCCTCTTCTCCACTTCGTATGACCTAGCGTTTGTTTAGGTTAAATTCGAGAAGCCACTTGTTTGACCACATCGAGGCTGTAGGACTGTACACCTCAAAATTCCCTCTCCACTTCTTCCACTGCCTCCCGTACATATTTTCTGTATTGAATTGACCAAGCCACCAGCTAGCGAAACTTTACATCAGTAAAAATACCCAGATACGTGAGGCCTGGCCACAGACCGGGCCACGGGGGCGTTGACCCCCGAAATCCTTCCAGGTATATTCACTTGGCGTTGTCTTTGTGCAGCTACTGGCTATTATCTATAATATATAATTAAATATATCTTCATTTTTACAAGTACTTGTAAAAGGTTACTACATAGCTAACACCAATGACTATCTATACTATATAGAAAGCCCCTGTTATGCATATTATTATTATTATTATTATTATTATTATTATTATTATAATCAAGGGGGAAGCGCTAAACCCGGAGGATTATACAGCGCCTGGGGGGGGGATGTGTGGAAGGCATTCAGGCTTAATTCGGGGAACTGGTGCACCTTGTTATGCATAGCATTTCCCGCAAATTAGGTCAGTTTTGTCCCAGGATGCGACCCACACCAGTCGACTAACACCCAGGTACACATTTTATACTGATGGGTGAACATGGACATCAGGTGTCTTATGGAAACACGTTCCTAATGTTTTCCAGCCGTACCGGAGATTCGAACTCCGGATATCAGTGTGTGAGGTGAGTGCGCTAGCTATTCATGTCCTCTCTTCATGTCTCGTCTTTTCCTCGCTTTTTCATCATGCTTCATATTATTCAGCTATTGTAGCTATTTTGTAGCTTTTTTTGTTTACCTTTTCAAATTAATCAACATGTTTCTTACAGGTGTCAACATCTATAGTCCAGTTTTGGCCTAACATGTAAAGTGTTTTTGGTCCCCTGCTGATTTTGTTGTTATTACTGCTGTTGTTGTTTCTGTTACTGCTACTTTTGGTGCTGTTTCTGTTATTGCTGTTGTTTGTGCTGTTTGTTATTGCTGCTGCTGCTGCTGTTTCTGTTATTGCTGCTGTTGGTGCTGTTTCTGTTATTGCTGCTGTTGGTGCTGTTTCTGTTATTGCTGCTGTTGGTGCTGTTTCTGTTATTGCTGTTGTTTGTGCTGTTTTTATTGCTGCTGCTGCTGCTGTTTCTATATTGCTGCTGTTGGTGCTGTTTCTGTTATTGCTGCTGTTTCTGTTATTGCTGCTGTTGGTGCTGTTTCTGTTATTGCTGCTGTTGGTGCTGTTTCTGTTATTGCTGCTGTTTTTGTTGCTGCTGTTATTGGTACTCTTCCTGCTATTTGTGCTGTTGGTGCTATTATTGCTGCTATTTCTGCTATTGCTTCTGTTAGTGATTTCTGTTATTGCTGCTGTCGGTGCTGTTTCTGTTATTTCTGCCTGTTAGTTCTATTTCTATCATTGCTGCTGTTTCTGTTAATGTTATTGCTGCCGTTATTGCTTTTTGTTATTGCTGCTGCTGCTCTTGGTACCATTTTTGCTGTGCTGCCATTGGTGCTGTTCTGTTGCCTCTGTTGTTGTCTTTTGTTGCCACTGTTGGTGCTGATTCTGATGCCGTTGCTGTTGGTGCTTGTTCTGTTGTTGTTGCTGCTACTCTTAACTGTTTCTTTTGGTGTTAGTAAGTAAGTAAGTAAGTAGTAAGTTTATTCAGGTATACACAAATACAGTTACATAGAATTATCATACATAGCAGCATATGTGTAGAGAACCTAGGATAACCCAAAAAAAGTCAGCCATTAATGGCAGCTCCGGTTCTTTGGATCAAGAGCCCGTCACCAGCTTCAAGGCACCACGCTTGATAGGTTATACTCCAGAGATAACATCATAGATAACGCCAAAATCTAAATCTCTATAAAATATATTATCATTATTTTTTTGTGTTAGTTTTCTGTTAGTACCGAGAGGATGAACAGGGGTAACTACTACAATAATAATTTGTCTTATTTTGTATTGGTTTGCCTTTTGAAGCCCATTAATACGAATCCTATGAACTTACAGATGCATAATAATAATATCTGTGGTATATTAAATAGCTCCTGCAGCTTTATAAATGAGTCAAACGTTTAAATATACCACTACCTCTCTTTAGCACGAACAAATACGACATATTTGTATTATATATTTTGAGTGTTTTATTGTTTTCAAGGTTGATCAAAGATATCCTTAATGTGGTGCTTTTCTTAAGGGATAATCTGAAATGGTTTTTTAAGTATTCATGGTAACATTTCGAGTTACATAAAGAGATGAATGGCGTTCACATCAACCAATGTTTTGGTTGTCTAGATCAAGCCTTCCAACACTCAATGTATTACTTTTAACTCTTTAAAAACCAGATAAACTACAATTATACGCAACATCTGGAAAAAACACGTAGCAATACTTATTTTCCACACGTTTGCTTTACGGCGACTTGCAGCAAATGTACTTTTAATTGAAGTGTTAAGACTAATAAGCGGACGTAGTGTGAGTATTATTGGAACTTGACACTTTGTATTGAAAACATTGGTGAGAGTGTACGCTAGTAGTGAGGGAAGATTTGTTTAGTGCAAGCTGTGTCCTCAGCAGTGTTCTGAGACTCAACACTTGCTCACACAACATGGCTCACTCCAAGAAGAGGCAGAAGGAGTCCCAGACGGCGCACAAGGAGAAGCGAAGGTGATCAGACATTACACCCACTTGTTCTTACCTCCTCTACAACAACACTTGTAGCAACTTTGTGGAGTTAATCTGGCTTCTGTGTAATCTTTGTGGCTCTCTCTGGCGCATCTTTGCACTACTGATGGCGAGATTCGGTTAAAATCTCAACTTATTTGGTCGGAAAGTGGTGTTTTGAGGCTGTGAAGTGTGAGAGGTGTGTTAGGACAGTCTCGTCCAGGTCCCTCCACCAAGGCTACCATTAACACTTAGTAATAATAATAATAATTTGCCTCACTAAGTGGTTAAAAAGATTATTTTAACTCTCCTTGTTGTCCCTATTCGTTCAACAGCAAAGTTGTGCATTGAAAGTGTTATTATGGAAATAAGTAGGGCTCCAGGGGAAGTAAGTGACCTAGACATTTTTTGGTTTATCCTGGGTAATTTACATATATGCAAATTATGTACACATGTGTAAGACAGTTGTAATCACTCAAACTATGTAATTGTACTTAAATAAACTTGGTTGGGGAATAACCGAACTCAGAGGGGTCATACAGTCTGGGGAATGAGGAAGGAGATGTAATCAGATTTACTCCAGAGGAGAGTAACTCCACTTCCCTGGACCAAGAACCCCCTTAATGGCATCAAGGAACCTCCAGTGTGCCTCAAGGGAGGTACCTTGATGCTGGTGAGGGTTCTTGATCCAAGGAACTGGACCTATTCTCCCCTTCCCTGGACTGAATCTGATCGCCTCCCCAGGTGCTGTATCAACCTTATGGGTTTAGCGGATCCCATTAATTAAAGAATTAAAATCCAATTGTGCCTGTGAAGTAGCCTGCTGTATATTAATTATTATCATTAATACAGTATTGTTGCTTTGGTGTTACTACTGTTGCTGCTGCTGTTGTTGCCATTACTTCTACTTTTGGTGGTGGTGGTGCTGCAGCTACTGCTGTTATTGATGCTAATGTTGCTGCTGTTACTGCTATTTTTGCTTCTTATTGCTACTTTGTTGCTGTTACTGTTGCTGCTGGTGATGTTACTGCTTCTGCTTAGTTTTTGAAATGATGATGCTGTTGTTGCTTTTGTTGCTGGTATTGCTTTTGATGCTGCTGTTGCTAAGGTGTTGTTGCTTTTGTTGCTAAGGTGTTGCTTTTGTTGCTGCTGTTGCTAAAGTATTACCATTGCTTTTGTTGTTGGTCTCTTACTGCTTTTGTTGTTGCTGTCTCTGTTGTTACTGCTTTTGTTGTTGCTGTCTTTGTTATTACTGCTGTTGCTTTTGTTGGTTATTGTGGAGGTGGTGGTTTTGTTTTGTTGCTACTGTTTCTACTGTTGCAGTTAATGCTTTTGCTATTGCTGTTATGGCTGTTGCTTTTATTACTACTGTTTCTATTGTAGCAATTGTCACTTCTGTTGCTGTTGCAGCATCTGTTGCCATTGTAGTAGCAGCAACAGATGTTGCTGCTGCTGCATTTTGTTTGCTGTTATTTGCTGGTGATTGTTGCCAAGTGCTGGTGGAGGTTATGGTGGTTTCACTATTGCTACCCAGGTAATCAGGTATTCATCAGAGAAACATGTTCTCAGACCAGATTGCCCCTCAAGGAAGGTTCCTTGATGTTGGTGAGGGGCTCTTGATTTAGGGAATTGGATCTGTGCTCCAGTTCCCCGAATTAAGCCTGAATGCCTTCCACCCCTCCCCCAGGCGCTGTATAATCCTCTGGGTTTAGCGCTTCCCCCTTGATTATAATAATAATAATCAGTCCAGATTGTTGGAGTAGAAGTACTCGTGACAGCAGTCAGATATTTTATTAGTGTCTTATTATGTTAGGAATTTATTTGGTTGTTTTGGCTGTTACATAATGGAGTTTGTTAGGTCATATGTTATAGATTTTGTTATTCCATCTACGTATGGACAAGTACATAATATAACCAAACTGGGTATAGGCTTGGTGGATATGCTGAGGGCACATAATTTTGTTCAAATACAGCCATACTGCTGGTTTGAAAAAATATGCAAGCAATTATAACATTACAATGCATAGAAAAACGTGCATAGGTATTTAATAGGAAGGATGAAAATTGTTTGATTTTTACTGGTATAACTACTGTTACTGTCACAATTAATTAATTCTACCACTGGGTTATTCATGGTTATTTAATTTTTCTAGGCGTTTTGCAAACTAACATGAAGGTTACATTGACCACAGCCACCAGTGTGCTGTAGCATGTTTAATCCAGTTTTTATTAAGGTTTGTGTTTTTTGGAGTTGCATCTGTTCCAAGGATCTAGTAAGTCTGCAAAATTTGTTTACTCATGTGTGTCTTCCTCAGACTTCCATGCCATTGTTTCTTGTTATTGAATTGGACTCTTGGTCCAAAAAATTGAACCTATTTTCCCCTTGGGTCGAACCAGAATTTCTTCCATTCCTAGGTGCTGTATGACCCCAACTGGTTTAATGTTTGACTGCAATAATAATTCTCATGGAATTATTATTGCTTTTCACTTCAAATAGTTCTTCGTGTTCGAGTGTACCCAGTGAGTTCTTGTCTCCATTTCCTAATAATGAGACCAGATGATTTGTCTTTCACCACAGGTTGTGTTTTAATGACAGAGCTTTGTTGTCCTTGCACTTGTCCACTTCGAAATGCATCTGCCACTTTTCTGACCACAAAATTACTTTGCTATTCTTCGATCCATAAGAGATATATTCCTCCAATATTGCTGACCCACAGATGGCTCCATCTTCATCCTGTTCACTATTTGTACATCTCATAGCAATAAAAAAGGCTTACAAACAAGCTGATGTAGGTGACATTATTATAATCATGGGGGAGAACTAAACCCGTAGGATTATACAGCACACGTGGGGAATGGAAGGTATTCAGGCTTAATTCAGGGAACTGGAGCACAGATCCAATTCCCTAGATCAAGAGCCCCTCACCAGGGGAGGGGTAGGCGTGGGGGATGGAGGAAAGTGGAGGCACAAGGCCGACAAACGAGGCAAAGTGATATAAACAATTTGCAAATAGGAACTTTATTGAGACGTTTCGCCTGTGACACTGGTTTCTTTAGCTTGCTCTGCATACAGGTCATTGATAGTGCACCAACGCATGCACGGACCGGTAAGTCCTGCAGTGCCCTATCACAATCTACCCACGTCCTGACCTCTCTGGCCTGGCCACAAACTTGACCGCACTTGTAGACATAATATGTGCTTGTTGCCCATCCTTGTTGTTCTGGCTCTTATCAGTATGTTCCACTCATCAGTAAGCTCTAAGATGGAAACCAGACCTTTTTTTTTCAACTTATTTATGGAGACTCGCCTTATCCTAAAAGAACGTGCGTTTCAGTCTTGTAGGTAGCCTAGCTTTGTCTTAGAGCGTTTGTTCAGCATATATATATATATATGATATAATAAATATTTATATGATATAATAAAATATATATCATATAGGATAATAAATATATATTATAATAATATGAAAATTATTCATATATATATGATAAAATAATATATTCATTTATATGCTGCGATATTAAATATTGGTCAATTAGCAAGAATCATTAAAATATAAGTCCTTCTGAAATTTCTCTATACGTTTAAAAGTTATATTTTTTCATCAGTGTTAATGTAAAATTATAATTTTTGACCAAAAATAATCTTAGAAAAATTACCTAACCTCTTATGAACGTGTAATTATTTATCCAAGCAATAAAATTTTTAAATACGTTCACATTAATTTAATATGATCAACACAATCAATATTTTTTTGCCGTTAGTTCAGATGATTTTGGCCGAAATATATATACATTTCACTTTCCTATATGAAATGAACTTCTATTAGCCAGATGCAGTTTCTATTCGGCAGACATATATATATATATATATATAATATATTATATATACATATATAAATAAATATTTGTCGTGCCGAATATGTAAAACTGGTCAATTAGCAAGAACTCATTTAAAATTAAGTCCTTTCTATAATTTTCTCTTATACGTTTAAAGATATATTTTTTTTCATTAATGTTGATGTAAAATTTTATAATTTTGCACTAAAAGGAACTTTGAAAACTTACCTAACCTTATTATAACAAGCGAAATTTATTTTAGCCTAACCCTACTAAATATATTTTAGATTTGTTTACAGTAATTTAATACTAAACAAACACAGTGAAATATATTTTTTTCGTTAGTTCAGAATGATTTTGGCGAAATTATTGCATACACAAATTTTCACTTGTCCTATATGGCAAGATGAGCTTTGCTATTTAAGCCAAGATCGCAAGTTCTGCCTATTCGGCACGACATTTTCAGCCGTCTTTTTCAGCCATGTATGTAGCTTAGCCATGTTTTTTCTTTCTACCATGTAAGTATCCTACTCTTGTCTCAAAAGATTATTTTTTTTTTTTTAGCCATGGGCGTATCCCAACTTTTTCCTAGTATTTTTTTTTTAGTAGCGTAAGTATTCTAGCCTCGTCTCAGAAGAACGTGTTTTTTTTAGCATTATAGGTATCATAGCCTTGTCCCAAACAACGTGTTTTTGTCAGCAGTAGGTATTCCAGTTTATTTAGGTACAGGTGCACATAAATAACTGGGTGGCTTTGGGAACAGATTGGACAAATACATGGCTGGGAATGGTTGGTTTTGAGAAGGACCTGCCTTGTAGGGCCAGTAGGCTTGGTATAAATCTTGGTAATAGATACCGACAGGTTGGTTTATAAAAACACGTAAGCAAACACTTGGACATGTTAATTAGAAAACGTTTCGGTCCTGAGACCGAATCGTTTTCTATGTCCTAATGGTTTCGTACGTGTTCTTTTCTTAGCCAGTAGGCTTTCTGCAGTGTTTCTCCATCATACTGTAAATTACCCAGGATCACACCATAAAGTCAGTGCGACATATTTCCATTGGGGGTCCTTGTTTTCCATTGGAGTATTGTGGTCTTTTCCCAAAATAATATAATTGGCGCAGCCGTTAAATTCACCTCACCTTTTCACCGAGATGATGGTAG